CAGGAAAAAAGTTAAAGCTCGCAAACAATGTTTAGTTTCCACTTTAACTTCTCTTTGCAGGAAGCATTCAGCTGTCATCAGTACAAACAGTAGGTGAGGCACCTGGTTCCATTAAGGGTAAGACAGATATACTTCTATCTCCCCCTGCCAAATGTCACAACAAGACAAAGCTAAGGTTTTTTAATGCTGTTTTACAACAGAACAGACTAGAAAACCAGAATGCAGCTCAACCCTCCCATCGTGTCCCCCTACATTTTCATCATATTCTTCACTTCACTATAATGAACTTCAAGCTCCCTCCACACTGTCCCTTCTCCTCTGTGGTTACACACAGTGGGGCTCAGCAGGTAGCGTCATTAGTAACTTTGATCATAAAAATCATCTTTGTTGATATCTGGCACAGCTGTAAGGTTGTTGGATGAAGCTGAAATGGCATTCTTCATTTTTAAACAATTATATACACTACTGTTCTAATCATGACTGTTTATGCTTCCTTTGTTTAACACTGTTGTATTCAAAATAGCCATAATCTCCAAGGAAATAAGCGTATGCAGAGAAGACAGCCCATTTAATCTCTTATTAGACTTGATTTCAAGAAATCTGAATATGATTGACTCACTTTAACTTCATCCCAGTGGTCTTTATCCTCTTGCAGAACCCGTGCAGTATGGAGAGGAGTTGGTGGCACTGACATTGATCTCTGAGAAAAGAGAAAAATACCAAAAGAAGTGTTCTGCAAAATCATGTTTGGGAAGTGACTGCTTGCTCTTCCATGTGTATGGAGGACATAAAACTTTATCTAACCTCTTTCAGTGGCCCTCATTATTCATGCTTCCAATCACTCCATAAGCTAATTCATGTGTGAGGTACAAAAGGACTATAGTCCCCACACGACAGTATCTTTAAAGAACAAAAGGAGAGAGAAATCAGCGCTGAGTTTCTTTCACTCTGCTCACTTCCAGTCCAACCAATAACCCCGTGTTGGATAAATTTTTTATGTACATGTTAGACTCTAAGTCATTTCACTATTCATTAGTCAATGTTTGAAAGTGGTTAATTTGACCTTCATCTTTCGGATTCGTTGTAGGAGAAATTTTCTTGTACATATACATTAACTCAGACTACCAGTTTTATCAGATCGCTTGAGACCCTCTTCCACATAAACCCGAGAGCTATGCTCACCTGATATGAAAGATCAGTAGATACTTTAAATCAGAATAAGGTACAATTTCTAAAGCCGGAAGCACAGTTCCCTAGCTAAATTCAGCAAGAATCATGGTATTTCTTGCCAGTCCATAACCCAAACTACATTTTCACCTGGATATTCTATCTTCATTATGCTTTCTACCCAAACTTGCTGTCTACTGCTGTGGTGTCCTACACCAGATGCAGCTGCATGGCAACAGTGTAAGGAGATGCCTATACTTGTCTCTGTAAAATGAGCATTCCATTGGAAACAGTGCTTACACTGCACCAAGCTAACAGCAGCACTGCAGTAGTTAAAGAAGTGGAAGCAGAAATCACGACACCTGCTTCCTCTGGAAAAGGACCCTAGCTGTCCAGGGTATAGTTTTATCAAGTACAGGTGGGAAATGCAAAAGCAGCAGACTGGCTTTAGTGGTGTCCCTGAGCAGGTGTTGAAGATGCCCTCCTATCTGCTGTCAGCTACTTCTTGTTGAATAAATCTTATCTACAAGTTAACTAGAGGATTACATGCTCTATCTAAAATGACAATTTTTGCATATTCCACAAAATTACTTCTGCCATCCATCTAATAATAAAAAAAAAAGAGAGAGGGGGACAAAACAAAAAAAGAGGAGAGACAAACCCCCTCCTCCGCTGCCTGTGCAAGGCATCTCCCCATACACATTCCCACTTAGGGATTTAGAAAAAGAAAAGGAAGAACACAGACATTCACTGTGTTGGTCTTTCCCTCCCTCTGCCTCATGAGAACAATGGGTTCAGTAGGAAAAAAAATGCCAATCTGCAGCTCCTAGAGCATTCTTCCAGGAACAGTATTCTAGCACGGCTTTTTGGTGCAGCAGAGTCTATAGATCTTGTCTCTAATCTCCTCCTTATTAATTGGTTATATGCATATTTCAAGTAACATGTGTCGCTGTAGGTGGTAGCTTCCTTAACTATTAGGCACTCATTCTGTGAAATTCATCGCCTGCTGACTTCTGGAACACCTCCTTCTTGGGTCTCCACACACTCAAAGCTGGGAGTATTTATTCTGAACAGTGATTACATTTTTATTTTGTTTAAAAAGACTTAGAAACATTGTCTACATTCTATTCTGGTTCTACAGTCTTTGTAACCTTAATTTCACAGCTTTTGCAACTCTAAATGAAGACATCTACCTGTTTCATCAGAATCTTACCCAGTTATATTTCTGTATGATTCTAACAGCTTTAAGATCTTCAAACGGGCGTTACAGAAATGCTGACTATTGGTCATGCCTCTGTTTCTGCCCCTTCCTCTGGGGATCAGGATAGAAAGAAAGCACTATGACAGAATAGGGCATTCTACCATACAAGTGATTCTGTTCCTGGCTGATGATTTTTTGGGCAGCTAGAAACAAGACTGGTGCCCTTTTAGGCACAAAGGTGAGAAGCATAATCTATTATTTTGAGTGACACCTACAGAGCAGAGATGACATCTTGAAATTCAGCCTGCTAACTCCTAGGATTCTTGCCTCTCGTTTGAAATCATTAGTATTGTACTATTCGAGTCCTTTTTCTTTGTCCTCTAAAAGTATTTTTTAAGCAAAAGTAAATTCAACCAAGTCATAGAATGAAACCTGAACTGGGACCGTTAACAACTCAGTGTACCATCCTATCTGGCAATCTTTTACGGGGCACTAAGCCGAGACCCTTGCTCCTCCCCCAGGCATTTCCAAACTCTGCCAGTGCTGAGAATTCCCACTAAGCACAAGACTCTGTTCACACTGACACAGCTATGCACAACGGTGCCTGAGACCACTAATAATAGTTCTCTTTAAATCCTGCACCAGTGAAGTAAGTGCATACAGTTTATTTTTATATTTTCAAAGAGAGTAACACATGCACCTTCTGCAGAGTTAACAGGGACTGCCTGTTCACAGAAGGTATAGATATACTCGGTTTTTGCTTCCAAGGATGCTATTGTGGGTGTCTCTCTTTGTGTGTCCTCTGGTAACACCAAGAAGAATTGTGGTTCTACAGGCAGATGACCCTCTGTGAAGGGCACAGTAGGTTAAGTTATTAACAGTAATCATCATCCTCCTCTTGCTGCGCTACACAGAGCTACACAGAAGTTCTGCATGTAAGAATTCATCTTGCTCCCTTGTAAAAAGAGACATGAAACTCACGTTAATCCAAGGGTGATTCATAAATTGAGAAATTGTCATCCTCTCTGTTGGGTCAGTCTTCAGCAAGTGGCGAATCAGTTGTTTGGCTGAAAAACAGGACCAACATGGCATGTTGTAGTCTACTACTGCATTCCCAAATAACCTTGAAAACACAAAGACCTGCTGAATGAAGAAAAAGAACTTTGCAGAACTCCAAACACCTATCTACTGCTGCTACCATGTTAAGAAGCCATGTACAGTGTGGTAGGTTATTATGTTTAAAGAGGCAGAACATGCAAACATCCAACACAAGGGGTAAGAAGGAAAGACAAAGCATTGGGGATTCCATCTACGCTACCTATATCACCAAACCAACTGTTTTGAGAGCAAGAACATGAGAAAAAGAGAAACATAAGAACAAAAAGCTGCCAAGTTGTCTGTCTGAAAGGTGACAAGAAGCTCGGCATTATGGGCTGAACGAATATATAAGCTGATGTTTTGAGAAATGAAGGAAGACAAGAACGAGCACAGGCTGTGGGGAAAAAAAGACAATGAACTTCTCTTTGACAATTGACAGGCCACTAAAAGGACAACAAAGTCAAAGAAATGGATTGCACAAACAGGCTTTGCAGCGGCTTTCTGTGAACGTGGTATCTGCCAAAGCAAGAGTACCAAGTAACTGAGATATGAGATGATGCGAGTCCTAGCTTCATTAATGCAGGCAGACAGGAAACACTACATCCAAGTGAAGTTATTTAGAAAGACTTACACATAACTTCCTTGGAGGAACCAAGAAAACTTCCTGAATAAGAGTTCTCTTTTAGAAACACTGAATGCGAGATGACTAAATGCTTGTAAGAAGCTGCTAGAGGTACAAGTTGAGACTTCAGTTTGTTGAGAGAGGCTGCATCAGAAGTTTACAGAAGCGATTACCTGGAGTCTAAAATGTACAAGGAAACAAAAGGAGGGGACCACAAACAGAGCCCTGTAAGATGATTACAGGCAGCTGAAGGGGAATTTAGAGGAAGCCTCCATAGATAATGCAATGACAGAACGATTAGATAAACAAATCCGTGACAAGAACGGTACAAAGGAGGGCAAAAAGAAGCAGTCTGCTGAAGGTGCCTGATCAGCCCAAAAGAGTACACACAAACTAGCTCATCTTAATAGGTTCAAAGGTAGAGGGCACCTGTCTTCATTCAGGCAAGCATACAGAAACCCTACAAATTTTCCAAGTGCACGTTCTCTCACCAAGCTCCCCTAGCATTTTAATAACTGCTGTATTATGAACAAGACCCAAGGCAGACAAAATATTATGCCAGAAACACATAAATAAAACATCTTCCTTACTAACGTTCAGTAGTCTATGCTGCATGCACAACCACGAGATCCAGTAAGGGCTGAAGTGCCACAGATCACAGTATTATCCAACAATCATTTGTTATTGCTAAACAGCAGACAATAACAGGATGTGAGCAACAGCAATACAAAAGGCTTGTTGGTGGGGGGGGAGAAAAAACATGATGTGCCCAGAAGTTGCTGACCTTTTTCTCTAATATGATGGGCAGGTGAGACTTCCAGCTTATGAGACTGTCAGAGTAAGAAAGAATCAAAAACACCCTCTTTCAGGACACTGGTTTGAGCCCATCCAGGTCACAGCTGAACAGCAGCAGCTTTATGTCAATGACTTCTACAAAATAAATTGTTGACCTTGATTTAAGTGGTGGCTGGCAAGTTCCCACATCACAAAAAGCTAGCATGAAAAGTTGCCATCCTTGCTGGCTGTATCAACAATGAGGGCAGACTGAATGAGTTCTTAAGACAGAGTTTGCCTTTCCTCCAACTCAGCTTGCATCGCAGCTGTCCTGGCAGTCTCCTTCCTCAGGATTAAAGACTTTTGTTTCCAGAGGGTTTAATCTCAGCATTCACTAGCACTAGCTGGAATTTGAAAGAAAGTTTTCAGTAGTCATTTACTTTCTGTAGTACTTCAGTTGCTGGCTAGTTCCCAGCTGTTCTCTGTATCACCTTACAAAAAAATCAATTTCAATTCTAAAAAAAAGGGGGAAAAAAACTAATTTCTAAAAGTCTCTGGTAAGCACTCCACCACTGCACAACACCATGCAGATAGTCATCAGTAGCACTGAGCACCATTACCTTCCTCTGACACTTCAGCCCACTCTGGACTGGGAAATCCATATTGGCCCATTCGAATTCTTCTCTTCATTCCTGGAGAAATGGCTTGACCAGTGTTGGAGTAGAATGGAGGGAACCCACACAGGCTGTAGGAGTGGACAAAACAACTCTTACAACTAGGAAAGTCCTTCCATCTCTTAAAAAGTCCCGTAAATGCTTATACTCTTCTGCAGGTTGCATGATCCTGGTGACTAACTACTTTTAAGTGCAGATTTAATAAGATGTGTCCTTTTTCTGTTCATAAGCCTCTTTCCAAATACTTACAGAATATATGTGATGACGCCCAATGACCACATGTCACATGATTTGTCATACTTCTCAGGACCAAGGACTTCTGGGGCTGAAGAAGATTAAAACCAGAAATTAACAGACTACTAAATACTTCCTTTCGTCTCCACCACTTTATAAGTAACAGCATACTTCAACAACAAATATTGGTGGCATTAAAAAAATGCAACTCACTGCAGGAACTGGGTGGTATTTTCTATTAACAAGTTCCTAAGCACATCTAATGCAGCTTTAAAAAGGAGGAATGGAGCTGGCAAAACGCCCTGCTCTTCACCTTAGTGTGTCTCTGCGCAAGAGAGTACTGAGATTAGAGAAAAGCAGAAGGAGATATAGCTAAATGTGTGCAGGGAGACACTGCGCTGAAAGAGGCAGGAGCATATGTTCCAGAAATCAGAACAGAAAGGATCTACTTCAGCTGTGATAAAATTTTGAACGGTACCTAGGTGGAGTGTGTTTAGCTCCAGCAACTATAGGGCACTGTATTTTCCTTTGGCCTCAAGAGCATTATTGTTTTTCACTAAGTAACAAAATTATAGAGAGATACATTTAGAGGGGATTTTTTTTTTCCCCTGGGGCAGGTGAACTGGCAGGGAGCTTGATTTTGTAAGGAAAAAGATTCTCTAAACACATGAGCAATCATGCCGTTTTTATTTATAAAAAGGTGTTGAGAAGGGAAATGTCAGCCTGTTTATATACAAATATAAAGGCATAAAAACATGTATGTGTAAATTCCTTACCATTTTATCACTAGTCCTAGTTTACAAAAACATAGAAGAAAGTATCAGAAAAAAACCTGCTGTTGTAATTCTCTGCTAACAATGAACAACAGTATCTTTCAATACAAAGAAACTATAAAAACTGACATTATAAAAGAGAACTAATTCTTCCAAAAAATTAAGCCCTTTTTCCTCCAAAGAAATTCCAAGTGCAGACTGCCTCAGTCATACCATATGGTGAATGACTATTAACACAAAGACCAAAAAGGACGTAGTCTAAAATAAGTGCATAAAGGACAGTCTACTGTGGCATTCATTATCCAGTGCTCTGGACAAAACACAGGGAAAAATTCAGCTGTGATTAAGTCACATTGGTGCTTTATTACTAATTCCTCCATTTGCCAGCTTTAAGGCACTTTACAGCTGAGGCAATACTCTCCCTGTTCTCTTTTATTGCATTAGTTAAGCTAAGGGAAGTTTTGCAAGGAAACACCCAAACAATCAAGAAGCTGTGTTCAAATTATGGCTTTTATTGCATCATTCAGAGGAAACATCAGGATTACTTCAAGTGTAATCAGAAGCAACATGTTCTCTCTCCTTGATCATCATTTGCATCCCCTGTTCAGGCGGTTTCCTCCACAACCAAGGAAGAAGGCAGGAGCACTGAACTGTACTGGAACCAGACTAGGTCTGGGTCGAATGCCAGTTTAAACTTTGCAGGCTACCTCTTTGCTTTACATCCACAATAGAAGATTTCCCACCTAATCCTGTAAGTCCACAGGCCCACTATAAGGGAGGGGATGACAGACTAAAACACAAAAGAAATCTATCTCGGATAACTTACCCACGTAATAAGGAGTGTAACAGGGTGTCTGCAGTGCATTTTGTACAGTGGTTTCTTTGGCAAAGCCGAAGTCTGTGAGTTTGAGTACAGTATCCTTCTCTTTAGAAGTGTAAAGCAGGTTTTCAGGCTGAAAGACCACCAAGAGAAAGGATAAACTGGACAATGAAGAGATATCTCTAATCAGCTGAAAGGTCAAACCATTCCCACTTGCCTGGACGACCACCAGCATCTGGGTCTCCTTACTTCACTCACATCCCCACCATACTAAGCAGAAAGTTCCCTCCCAACACACGTGGCATTTTTGCTCAGGCTAAGGATCACTGTTCTTCTCAACGTAGTATTTAGGAGAACAAATCACAAGACTCTCATCGGGTCCAATGGGCCTCAAGTTTGGCTTCTTGAACCTCTCTCTAGTCCACTGCACTTACTAGGACTGTTCTGTGTGATCAGCACCAGTTGATCTGACAGCACTTTGCACTGCATTCAAGTAGCTGAGGTGGAAGACAAGAGAAGTCATCAGCCGAACTCTCTATGAGCAACCAATATAACTCCATCAGAATTAACTGATACACAGTTCCCTTCCTGCTCCCCACCTCCTCTGTCTCCCGAAGCCTAGTTAATTCCCCTCTGGCTCCATACTCCATAAAGGCTCTCCACAACCAGAAGTGGCACAGAGGGAAGTGCAAGCTCTTGCACACAAGAACAGGGACAACGGGTACATCTCCAGAATCTGCAGTTGTTTGAACTTGTTTTCCAGTTTCTCAGTCATAGAGAAGCTATGCCCTCTCTCATGCTCATGTTTAGGGACATACAGAAGGACAGACTTTGAAGAAAACAGGATTTAGGGTCTATTAAGCAATTTGAACCATTTCTGTGTTAGTTCACTGAGTGTGTGTAGGTGGTGTTTGGAGCGAAGTGCTTCAGTTTCTGTGCTAGTGACAGGCAATGGCACATAGCTCCACAGAATGACTGTTAAGTCATTCTCCAGTTCCTACCTAAGAACCCTCAAACATACCCCTCAGTGATACCAAGCAATGGCAGTTCTCCCTCCAGCAAAACACACAGAAGCATCTGTAGAAAATTCACAAACTCCGAACTGCAGAATCAATCAGATGCCCCAGTCTATCATGTGATCAGCTCTCCAGCACATTTCATCGCACTGCCGTATCACCATGCTAGAAACGCCTTGATGCAGCTATCTTGTCTTTGCTTACGCTGCGCACTTTACAGAATGAAACCAAAACACAATACTACAAACCCTGTCAAAGCTCTATGACAAGATCTGGGTATAAACTTTAGCTACTAAAACACACTGTTGCACAGGGTAGTAACCGAGACCTTCCCATTTTCCCGAATATTTACATATGCTATTAAAGTGGGTTGGATGCACGGAACTAGTATTATTCCTCTCATATATGCAGTTTCTCCTGTTTCTGAAGGGGGGTTTGGTGTTTGTTTGGGGTGTTGTTTGTTTGTTTACGCAAGTATGATTCTGAAAACAACTAATAACTGTCAAAAACTGCACACAGAGTTATAGCATCTAGTGTAAGTTCACTTCAGGCAGTATTATTTTCTTGTTAATTAACTGGATTGCAAGTTGGTAGTACCTCTTTAATTAACCATCTGACTATCACCAGCTGCTTCTGCATTCTGTACACAACTGGAAGGCATTACCACACATGAATATTCTGACCTCTGACTAGCTGCAAACTAGATGTGAACCGATCCCTTCTCACACTGGCAGAGGAACAGGAACACTCTGACCATCTGATTGTACTCCTAGTGCTATTCAACCCACCACTGCCCATTTATTTCTCTGCCTTATGCTCTTTTCTCCCTGTCCACACACCTTCAGGCCTCACCTTGACATCTCTATGGGCAATGTTCATGGAATGCAGATACTGGATGGCTGTTCCGATGTCTCTCATTATCTCAGAGGCCTCTATAAATACAATTTCAGAGAAAGGTCACATTAACATTCCCACTGTAACTCAGGGACATGCTTGGGAATGCTTATGACTTACAAACAGCTTGCTGGAATACAGGGCTAGCATCAAGACTAGAAAACCTAAAATTAGCCTTAACAGCTGTGTTTTGGTTTTGCAAGCAACCATACCCCCCAGTTCCCCGGCTGCTCAGCCCTCCTCCTGAGCCAGCACTGCAACCGAATGGTTGAGACTCCTGCTTTTTATGAGCTTGTAAATTTGTGCTTTAATTTGCTCACCAGAAAAGCAGCAAGAGCAGAGCAGGTATGCAAGCAACGTGCCAGACTGTGGAGAAAGGGGCCCCAACCAGGACATATCTCTGATTGGCCAGGACATGTCCTTGGTTTGTCCGAGACAGAAGTTTGACTTTCAGCTTCTAGTTCAGGGGTAATAGGAGGATCTAACAGATTTTCTAAAAATAGAGCAACATAACAATATAGTAATTTTAGGATAGGTTGCATCTTCATTCGTCACTGTCTTTAGACGTTTTTCCTCAGGAGAAACAAAATCAACAGTTCTATTCCGCAAAGCCCAACCTGCCACCTGTGAAATAATATATTTCTAAAATTTAACATAACCCCAGCAGGAAATTCCAGTGGTTGGTGAGCTGCCTTGCAACTGCAGTACTCCTGAAGTCTGGAAGAGTTCATTTACACAGGGAGAGGTTTCACAGCAGGAAGGAGTGACATTCCCATTGTACCAAGCAAGCATTATATTACATCTCCGCTGACAGGCAAACAGAATTAGAAACTTCAACCCGATCCTCTGTTTTCTGCACAGGCAGAAACCTCAGCTGCAGTAATGAGAGAGAAGGTAGAAATTCTTGTACTGTAAGCTGGAATCCTTTTTCACATGGCTTGACACTGAAATTACACAATCTTAGGCAAGGACAATGAGCAGGCAGAAACACTCCTCTCTGGGGAAAACCTTGTACAAGCTCCTCCTTCCTGGCCCAGGCCAAAAACCCTGGCTCCTAATGGGAAGTTGTGGCTGATACATAGCCAGTGAACCTGGGGAATCCAGTGGAACAGGGCTCGTTTCAAAGAATGAAGGTGCGTTTTTTGTTTAATGCTCCGAGATGATCTCTGAGTATGTATTTAGAATGTTATACAACAGTATTTAATGTAGAAAAAAATAATGTTTTTAGCAGAGTGGAGTCACTAATGATCATGGAACCAACTTCACTCATGGAATCTTGTCTTTTAGAGAGGAACAAATAAAGTTCCTGAAAATGGCTGTTTTCCCTACACAAGTCTCATACCACTTAAAGGATTCATCCTAGGCTAGGAAACACAGGATCAAAAAAAGCCTGGCCTCTATACCAGACTTCCAAAACAGTCACAGTAATTTACAAGCTCAGGTGTAAATTTTTCTTTTAATCATTTTGTCACAATGCTAGTTACAAACACTAGCATTTTTGCTCCTGAGCTGAAACCAGCTCTTGTCTGTTGTGAATGGGCAAGGAGAACCTGAGTGAAGCACACGTGTGGTACTCTGCAAATAATAAATAGCAAAGACAATGCCAAGACTATTCTATTGCAAGTTCTGTCACTGACTCACAGCAGGTCTTTAAACTTGCACACAGTCCCTATTACAGATGAGCAGCCTTGTTTACAGTGTGGCTAATAACACTTCCTTTCAAGCAGTACTTTAAAATCCTTGAATAAGAGATGTTTCATCAAATGTGATTTGTTCATTATATTCATCACCTAACAGTATAGATGTGCACAGTGATGCTGCTTGAGGGACAGCCAGCTGAGAAATCACAGCAGGAGCTGCATTGATTGTGTTAGAGGTAGTCTGGCAGGAGACCAGGGACTACAGTAACAGAGGCTGCAGTGGTTCAGAAATTAAGAAACTGAGCAAATTTGTATGAAGAATTTTCCTCTAAACCTTCCACATTGTGCCTGAACTTGGCCGATTCTGGTGATTTCTGATATTCAGGAACTTGTAAAAATAACTGTTTAATACAAACTTGGATAGAAAATTAAAAATTACAAACAAAAATAAAATCAAACTCCTGTAAGGGAACTAAGCAAGAGGACAGAGAAAGGGAAAACAAATCTTTCCCAAACTTTAAAATTAAACTTGTGATTTTTCACCTCTCTCAGTGAAAGCTTGGTCTCCTCTCTCCTGGATCCTACTGAACAGCTCTCCTCCTTCCATGCTGAAACAAAGAACACAAAAAACCCCAACCTTACATGAGCAGAAAAGATCAAATTAACACCTGACTGCGCATCCATATAATCACACAGAACCATGGCAGGAACAGATTAGAAGAGATTACAGGCTGCCTCCTAGGTCAATGCTTCCTAAACATCACATTCATTTGAATCAATGCACAAAGCCATTCTGATATGGAATAAAAAAGGCCAAAACAAGACCAAGGAGATTTGATGCTTTCAGTTTAATGCACGCTGTCACAAGGAACATGACACACATAGTTGGGAAGTCAGATATGCTGGCACTGCGAAGCTGACAGTCATCTTATTTTATGTAAGGGCTGGAGATGAAGAAATAAGAAAGAAGCAAGTAAAGATATAGAAAAGGATTATTAGAATCATAGAATTACTTAGGTTGGAAAAGACTTTTAACATTGTCAAGTCCAACTGTTAACCTAGCACTGCTAGGTCCACCTCTAAACTGTGTCCCTAAGCACCACATCTCACGTCTTTTAAATACCTCCAGGGATGGTGACTCAACCACTTCCCTGGGCAATGCTTGACATTAATTAGTCCCCAGTGAAGAAGACAGTAACTGTGGTATTATAGATCAAGGAGAGAACAGGAAAAGTTAAGAGCCAAAATAGTAGCAAAAAGGATCATGCCAGATCATAGGATTTACCTCTGAATTTGGAAGCCAATCATAATCAAGGTGCATCATATTTGTAGAGGCGTATCTTTTAAGATCTTATTAAATAGTCAATGCTTTAATGAAGACAGTTGTCATGGTGTACAAGGAAAATTTTCTAGTTAAGGTCCCTCATTCATCCACCGTACAAGTTGGCAAAGCAGCTACACCCTTCCCTACCAGTTCCATAAAGACAACAAAAGGTTTGCTGTGCAAACTAAAATTGTGCTGCTGAGAAAGCTCACCTAACTCTCATCTAACCCAACACATTCTCGCACTCCCTCCACCCCCTCAAAAAGTAATGCTTGGTGGGGACTGCTGCTGGTCCATACCATTCCATGACAATGAGGAGGCATCTCTTTCCATGATGTATATTCTCATAGACATCCAGGACATGGACAATGTGGGGACACCCTGATGCTCGCCAATGATATTCTACTTCCTGACGGGCTTTTGGGTTGTCATACAGGAGCTGTAAAGAAATAGGAGAGAGCAACGTCAGCGAGCCAGCATCATTCTGCTTCACATTGGCACCTACATGCATTTGAGCTCAAAGATGGTGGGGCAAAGCCTACTCTCGGCACCTTCTCCAGCCAAAGGATGCCAATTCATCACAAGGCTTCCACCATCTCCGAGCTCTCCAACTTCCTACATTGAGAAACACAAAAACAACTGGTCCCTTGGAACTGGAAGGACCCTCGAGTGGCAGTGAAGACAGATTTTGAAACTGAAATGGAGACAGACCTATCTCATGCACCTCTGGATAGGAAATAGCAATTTCTTCCCTACTTGTTTGCAGTACTTGCAAACAGAGAAGAATCCCTCTCCTAATGACATTAACCCTCCCACCTGCCTCCCAGCTGCTGGGAGAAGAAACTTTAAGGTGCAATGCAAATCGTTAAACTTTAATGAGATTTAAAACAATAAGGGCTTTTGCACTGACTCTGAATGTGCTTCTTAAATACTACACAAATTTCTGAGCCCATCAGGGTCAGAAAGGGACCTTCGTCTATCTAGATAATGGAGCTTCTTTTCTCTGCCACATGCAAGGCCAGTTTAAAGGCACTAATCTCTAGAAGGGAGGCAAGAGCTCATCTTTGCTGATCCTGCAACCTCGTACACAAGAAATGTGTCCCTTCCCATTTGAAGAACTGCTCTCTATCAGACTGTGTAACTGAGCTTTTGTTCAACAGGGGCACATTGCTGAATCATGCCTTTTCTTCTCTCCCTCGTCTCTCTAGACACCACTAACACTTTGTGAAAGAGACTCTTTACTGCACATTTATATGGTTCCTACACAATACAGCTGTGATCCAAGTTTGATACTTTATGCCCTATAGTAATAATCATTGTAATGACGGAGCAGCAACAAAACTGATGCAATATAAAGCACTGTTAAATGCACTGAAACAGAATAAAAATCAAAGAGCAATCACCTCTGATCTATTCCCCTTAGAAAAGGAATACAACAACTGTGGGGGACTGTTTTCAAACAGGCAAACAGTAAGTATCATTGCTGCACCATTAAGCCTTAGCCTGAAGCTCTTCTCACTCATGTTTGCTATCAGGTCCTAGTCAAAACACAACTGCATGATAATTGCTGAAAACAAGTATTAACATGTAACCTGTCATTAGGGTCCTATGAATCAGCCCAGGAAAACGAGATTGTGTCTCCATCCAGCTGCCAACTAAGGTACAAATGGTGTCAGAGGCACCACTCAGCACAGGGAAATGCACAATTTAAAGGCCACAGGAAGGCAGTTGCAAATTCTGGTTTCTTTATTGACTCCAATACAGACTATTTGCATCACTGGAAAAAAAAAGCTTACACTTCTTTGCTGCTTCAACATCCATTTCAGCAAAGCAGACCCAGTGACATGGCAGGAAAGGCCTGTAACACTTGACGAAATGCTGGGAAGCGCTCGGGAACCACTGGACAGAAGGTAAGAGGCTTCTCTTCTTTTCCAGGCTGGGAATAGGAAAAGGGTGACAAGCACTCCTCTGCCAAGTGCACATTTTCATACTTTTGTGAAGCCCAAAGAGGCTGCAGGAGGGGACGAGTGGCCTGAGGAAGGCTGCTGGCTCCTTAGCTGAAAGGGCAGACAGCCTCACCACCGTGACCGCCCTCCAGGCTCCCCCAGCTCCGCTCCAAAGGCTCCAGCATGACACCATAATTTCAGTGGTCCAAGGAGCTGAAGAAGCTTTCTTGCAGAGTTCAATGCCCTCGCAGCCAACCTACTTCTTCCACAGCTGTCATTCTGCACCCAAAGCACACCCTTTTGAGATCACTAACCATCCGCCTCTTCCTTCCTGCTCCAGCCTGGCTATGGCCTGATTTCCAACACAAATAACTTGCTAAAGAAAGAGATGGCTCCAATTTGGACAAAAAGCCCATTAGCGAGTCCAAGTGCAGTTGCTTTACTTCTTTCAGCCATCAGACCATTCAGGGGCTTTTCCTTCACAGCCACTGTGTTCTAGCTCAGCAGGAGTGTCTATCAGCATTTTCCCTTCTGCCTTTCTGATTTTGGGCTGTTGCCTAGCGGTCTCTTTAAAAGTTCATTAAATTACATGTGCAACAATAAAGCCAAAACACCCTCAGGACTAACCAGGCCATTTAGGAAAGCATTACAGGTTTACTGCTTGGATATTACTGGATTAATGCCACTTCTGAGCAGGACGCTTCAAAAACCTTCTCACCTATCCTGTGCTACTAATCAGACATAACCGTTCTCTTCACTAATGTTAACTGCACTATGATCTGTGTATCTTGTGCTTGCACAGTGTGCAGAGATGTTGTTTTTCATGTTTGTACCAAGTGCTTATGAAAATTGTTTCACAGAATTGAATTCTCGCTCTCTGTAGAGCTTTTACAAGGCGTTTCGATACGCACAATGATGCTGCAGTTTTTCTCCACCCCTACAAGTAAGTTTCATATATTCCTTAGTGCCAAGCTTGAATGTACTCATGTCAAGATGACACCTGGAGAAGCAGAGAAAAGGAAATGCAAAAATAAAGAGCAGATACACATACCAAGCAACATCTGATATATCAACCGTTAACCTTTGGATTTCTGCCTCTGAGCCTTAAAAAGAACTTAAATCTTTCCCTTATGTCTAAAACTGGAAGCCATAACTATACCTTTTAAGTCATCTTAGAGACGCAGACACCTGTAAAATGAAAGCCAGGCAGGGTTGAAAGCACCAATTTCTACAAAATTTAGGTGATTATTTAAAAACCCAGACTGAAATTCCAGGCGTATGGTTAAATCTAACAGACTTACAAAAAACATAAGTAGACATTCTGCCATCTTCCTGAGCCTGAAAGCGACTGTGCTTCTATTGCTGCAATAGCTTTGATAAGACTACGACCAGGATCCCCTGACATTCTAGAAAAGCGCAGAGGTAGTTGTGAACAACCCTAGAGTTTCAGATAAGTTTTCCAGCACTGCTGGTTCGTGTTGATTTGAGGAAAGAGCAGCTTTGTCAAACAGTATCAGCTCAAGGAGCCCCCAGTCATCTCCCCAGAGTTCCCACACAGTTCAGGCAAGTCATGGCTTGTCACAGTGGGCTGTGGGCAGGATCATGAACCAACCTATATTCAAAACTAGACAAACCCAAGAAACATGCCCCATCTCCCAGTTTTTCAGAAAGCCAGATCAGTGGATGCCCATGTGTGTGGTCAGGCAACAGTCTGGAACAGGAGCTGCACAGCAGAAAACTGTATTTTTCCTGGAGCTCTGCATTACCAAACCACTGCCTAAAAGAAGCAGATGAAGCAAGTATTAACAATTATTCACAGGGAGATCATCAAAAAGAGGGGTGATGGAAGGCAAGAAAGTACAAGACCTCTAGAGCCCTAACCCCTAGCGATTCACACTACTCTTCTCGGTATCTGAAGAAGCTGGAGAGGGAAGGGAGCTGCACCATGGGGCACGCTCTGCCTGTTTCGGAGGAACAACAGCGCAGATGTCAGCAGACACTCCAGGATGCCCTGCTAATTCAGGACTTGGTGGTGGAAGGAGGCCTGAACATTAAATTCTGGGGTGATGGCCTAACTCAGGTTAGCAAGCGCCTGCAAAACAAAACAAATTCTAAACTGCAGCTTGGAAGGCCAGCTCTGTGAAATCTCTCCCTGTGCAGAATTTCTTGAAAGAAAAAAAAAAAAAAAAGGAGACTAGAAAGTGACACGGTATCTTCTAACTGCTTTTCCATCGATTCAGTGTTGTGTAAGCAAGGAAGGATAGCAGTAACCCTCATACCTTAATGGGCTGATCTATACAGGAAATAGCCTTCTAAGGTCTCCAGGGAGTGGGAAGTGATGTTCTGGACGCTGAAATTGTAACAACACAGAGAGAAGATACCCATGGGCACAGGCATGAAACAGGCTGAGGACAGGAAGCAATGACTTCTTTATTACTGTCTCTTTAATACGCAGTAGCAGATTACACAGATTACTATTACACCTGCTATCTGTTCCCTACATAGGGGATTAAGGCTCTCACATATGCTTTTTTTTAAATTTTATTTTAAACTTCAGCAATTCCTGCTAGTTCCAAACAATTGCAGTGCTTGGATTATACCTGTTACAGGCTCAATTCTCATCTACTGCACATGCCATGTTAAAGCAGCATCTGACACTGTAACCATCTTTTACTTACTTGCACCAACTCCAGAATCCAAACTCTGCTTCAACAGACAAAACAGTTTTATAATCTCTGTGCTATCTTCCTCACAACAAGGCTTCCCATTATTGAAACAGAAATGAGACCAGCAGAAACTTTCAGTCCTAGAGGTTCTCAATGTGTAATATTGGTATATCAGCACTTAAATATAGCTTTATTTATTTTTCTAGCAAGGAAAGAAAACTCTCTGCTCAGGCGTAAGTGGGTAAATGTCTAACTTCGTTTTCTTTCCTCTTTGGATGTAGCTGTTACAAAAATGCTGAATCCTACAAATAAGCCTTGGAATCTAAATTCACGCGGATGCACAGAAACTAACACCATTTGCTGCAGAGCGGCTCTTCCAGTCGTTCTTTATTCAAGTGGGGTTGATAGCAAAAGGAGGCTTGAATAATGTTTCTTTCATCTCCTCCCTCCCCTGTGCTACAAAAAAGAGGGAGGAAAGAAGAAAAAAGAGCTATCACTAGCTTTGGACATTTTGTCTTTTATTACATCCTGATTATTTGCACTACATCTATTAATTCAATGTTAACAATCTTTATCTGTTTCCAGAGCTCTTCATAAGGGATAAAGCCATCCTTTGTGTTAGAACGCTGAAGGAATTGAAATTATCAAGGTTTTCTTCTTCACGCATCAGCACTGCCAGTCAGTCAAACTGCAGCAAGAAGCATGTGCCTTTTTGCAATGGCAGCCCAGCAAGCAAGGAAATCCACACATGCAAATCTCAGAGAAAGCATTGAATTTTTTTCTTAAAATAAAAAGTTGTACACATTTCTGCTCAAATTATTTAGTAC